TTGTTTTCAATCCATGAAATTGTCTTAGATGATTGTTTAATCTTTTAAATTCTTTCAGGCAGTTAGAAAAACCACATATTTGTTTTTTGCATTGACGGATCTTTGATTGTCTTTTAGAAGGTGAGAGCACTTTTCTTGGTAAGTTGAGATCATAATCTACTCTAGCGTTTTTTGCTTTTATCCGATCCCAGACATGTTTTTTAGACATTAAATGTCTGTCTAGATGTGCCACTTGCCTAACAATAAAAAAATACATTAAGCTTAATGAAAGCAGATAATAACTAAAAAAAATTTAGTTTATATCTTATTATATATCGATGTCTTAATACTGAGACAAAACTTATATACTTTTTACTATACAAAACAATACTTAATATGTATTAAATTTAATGTATCAAATTTTGTAATCTTTATATAATATTTATGAAAATTACTTTCATTACTTTTATTAAGAACCTAAATAACTTCGTATTACCTTTGCTAGAACTTTGTATAACTAAGTATAAACTAAGTACAACTTTGTTATAACTTCATACAATTTAATAAAAGAGTTATTAACATAATCTTTTTTTTACAGTAAAAAAATATTTATTAACCCTTTAAGGGCCGAATTATGAAATTGACTTTAAAAAGTTATTTAATAATATTTTCACAACAGTTATGGGTCAAATTATTAGAAAATATAATTTTTTTTTTTGCTGACGTCAGCAAGTTCCTAAAAACAATTGTTGCCATTTGGCAACATTGGCCTTCCATAGTAAAGTACAATTCAAAAAAATTTTTTTTTTTAATATATTACTTTTTCATAATTGTATATAGAATACCATAATGATGAAAAACCTTCATTATGTCATTAACATAATTAGAGAACACCTATAAGATTAAGCTTATAGCATGATAGGTTTGACTATGCAGAGGCAGTACCGATATAGTTTATAAGCAAAAAAAGTAAAATTTAGTGAATTTATAGTAACCAAATTAAAACATATTGCATATACATATTAGAAAAACACAAAAATAGCAAAAATATTGCTGGCTACATACATTATTTCTAATAAATAATAGGTAATGTAATTTTACCACTCTAAATACACGAAGAAGTTATTTTTTGTGAAACCCATAGAAACAATTTTTGTTCTGAGTCAGGCAAAGAGCTATTTTGCATTTTGTACAATATACCCGACTAAATCCAGTCTTGCAGAATTGACATCTGTTTTTTGATTCTTTACACTTTGGCCAATGATCTATGCTATCATAACAAACGTCCACACAAGGGTTTGATACTAAAGGTTTACAACCACGTTTACTTGTACTTTCATCAGCATCAATCGATCTCTTTGATGGTCTGCCAACTGACCTTGAAGGTAATTCTTTTCCAGCAGATATAAGAGCTTCAGCAACACTGGAAATAAATTTTAACAGTGAATACTGACTTTTTTGGGGTAAATTTAATTGGCTAGCATAACGACGATAAAGAAGCCATCCATTAACTTTACTAATATCTACACAATGAAATATCACCTTCAAATACCACCTCTTTGTTTTTATTGGGGTGCGATAAAGGGATATTAGCATGTCAGCTAAGTCAACTCCTCCCATAGACTTGTTATACTCCTTTACAATTTCAGGACAGGAAACACTGACATAGGATTTATTTTTTCGATTCCACCTTTTGACATTTGATAACCAAATGGGGGAAGAGAATGTAGAAACTAGTTGAACACATTTGTTGTCAAACCATCTCACCAAAACCAACCCTGAATTGACATCTGTGAAATAGCAACTGCTGCCACGCCCTTTTTTTTTAAATTCTTTCTCTGTTGAGAGTGGACATTTTTTTATTCTGTTTGATCTAATTGTTGCTGTGGTTAAAATTCCATCAACTTTTAGCTTCAAACACAAATCCAAAGATGTAAACCAATTGTCAAAAAAAAGTTTATGATTAACATTTTTTGGAAGCGTTTTGCAAAGCTTTCTTACAACATATTCCCCATTACATTTTATATTTCCACATGCTCCAAAATACAAAAAAAAATCATACATCATACCAGATGCACCAGCTCTAACAAAATTTTTAAACCCCCATTTTATTGGCTTGTTTGCATTGTATTGACGTTTGCCACTAAATTTGGTTTTAGCAGGAATTATTTGTTCATCTATACTCTGTTTTTCCTCATGTTCAATAAGTATACAATTTTTCCTCACACCATCAAGAATTGGTTGCACCTTAAACAGTTTATTGTTTTTATTAGCAACATCATCTTTATTTGTATTGTCATTTGCATGCAAAAAGTGGCGTAGTTGTTTATATCGATTTCTTGACATGGCATCAGCTATTGGGGCATATCTAGTTTCCTTTGCCCAATACATGTGGTAAGCAGGTAATAGTATTATTGACATCATCATGTGCATACCAAGAAACTTCTCTATTTCATCCTTATTTGTGTTCATAGATTTTCCATTTTTCTGAACACTATAAAGATTTGTTTGTTCCACAAGTGTATTAGTTATAGAATCATCCCAGAAAAGCTTGAAAAATGTCAATGGTATCATTTCATCAAAATACTGGGGTGGTTGACTAAAACCAGCCCCAGAAAACTCAAAGTTATATAGAGGAGGTTCTTTGTTTCTCCATCTAAAGATATGTTTTAGCTGTATACAACTATCAGTTTCACTTTCGTTATCACTTTCAACATTATTATCTTCATCACTGCAATCAATATCTGCTACTATATCATCATTCAATCTTTTAAGTTGAAAATCAGGCTCTTCAGTGTCATCATCCTCCAAATCAGATAGCTCAGAATCAGAGCAAGGAGATAATACATAATGGAGAGTTTCTTCAACATTGTATCTAGTTTTAAATTTTTTCTCCACCTGAAATTTATAAATATGTAACAAATACATATTATGTATGTATATATATATATGTATATATATATATATATATATATATATATATATATATATATAAATATATATATATATAAATATATATATATATATATATATATATATATATATATATATATATATATATATATATATATAAAATAACCTTCCTACAATCTCTTTACCATGGATACCAATAATATCTCCCAGACTTATTCAGAAAAGCTTGTTACAGAACTGTTTTTAAATCAAATGCTAACCTTAAAACGCTATTAACGTCTAAAAATAAGTCTAAATTACCATGCAACAGCACCCCAGGGACCTATTTAATTAAGTGCAAATGCTCCAAAGTATACGTTGGTGAAACCAAACTTCAATTACGAACAAGGGTTCAACAACAACAAAAATTTTTGACTGAAGGCAAGTTAAACCAGTCTGCATTAGCTTTGCATAAAGTAAATTGTAATGAGGACATTGAATGGAATAAAGTAATAACACTTAAAGTTGAGGATAAAAAATTTGAAAGAAAAGTCCGTGAGGCCTTAGAGATACAAAAACATCAATGTTCTCCAACGTGCGGTGGTATGAATTTGGACAATGGACAATATTTAAAAACAAATTTTTGGACTTCATTTTTTTCATACTTAGGTAAAAGAAGCCATTATAAAGGTGACGTCAAAATTTAAAATTTTTTTTGTTGTTATTTAACGGTCACAATTTTTGTAATTATACTATATTATATGCTGATGATGCCGGTGCCTATAATCCGGCGAAAATTTCAAATAAATTATTTAGTAATGAGAGAATTTGTATTATCTGATGTTTTAAATTAGTTTATTATATATATATATATATATATATATATATATATATATATATATATATATATATATATATATATATATATATATATATATATATATATATATATATACTCCTATAAATACCTTAAGTTCATCATCAAAGAAACTATACCTGAACAAAGAACTTATTTCACTCATTAGAGAAAGACAGAATTTAAAATACAGAAATTGTTCCAGTAAATGGAAAAATTCAAACCTTTGTAACCAATGTAAACAATTATCAAAAAGAGTGTCATTTGAAATATCCATTGCAAGACAAAAATACGAATCAATGATTGTGGAAAATACTAAAAAGAACCCAAAAGTATTATATAAATATATGAATTCACAACAATATGTAAGAGACTATATAAAAGTTTTGCGACAATCAAGCAGTGAAATAACCCAGGATCCAGAAAAGATTGCTGATCTTTTAAATAAAAATTTTCAAAACGTTTTTGTCAAAGAAAATAAAAAGTGCACTCCATTATTTAAAACAAGAATCAATGATACTACCTTTAATTTAACTCCTGAAGATATCCAATATAAAGACAATCTTGAAAGGCTAAACAATCTTGATTAAATCAAAGCCTATGGAGTCGACAAGTTATATCCATCTATCTTAAAAAACTGTGCTACTGCTTTCGCTCTTCCTCTAACACTAATTTTTATGGAGTCAATAGAAAAAAGTCAACTTCCAAATCAATTTAATTCAGCAAATATAACTATAAATTATAGACCTTCCATGTATATCACTTCCGTGTCCTACTTTTAAAATACTAAAAGGTTTTAATATATTTATAATAATATTTTCATAAAGATATTTTTCAAACTTAAAAATAAGTTTGAAAAATATCTTCATGAAAATATTATTATAGCTAATCAACAGCATGGATTCGTTAAAAATAGATCATGTACTACAAATTTACTTGAAACTCTAGATTATATTACAAGAAATGTGGATCAAGGAATTCCTGTGGATGTAGTTTTACTTGACTTTAAAAAAGCACTATACCACATCAAAGGCTTATCTTAAAACTTGAAGCGTATGGTGTTAGTGGCTTAGCACTTCATTGGTTTCAAACTTTCTCATCTAATAAAAGGCAGAGAGTTATTATGGGAGATTATGTCTCAACTTAGGTTGATGTGTATAGTGGAGTTCCTCAAGGATCTGTATTGGGTCCACTACTTTTCTTACTTTATATAAATGATTTTCCTAAGTCTCTAAAAAATATTTCAAAAGTATATGCTGATGACACAAAAATCATGTCGATTAGTCCTGATGAGTTACATACTAAACTACAATGTGATTTGAACTTTTCGTATGCTTGGACACAAGATTAATTACTTAACTTTAATATTGGCAAATGTTTAGTTATGCACATGGCTATAAGAGATACCCAATATATATATATATATATATATATATATATATATATATATATATATATATATATATATATATATATATATATATATATATATATATATATATATATGTATATATATATATATATATATATGTATATGTATATATATATATATATATATATATATTGTATATATATATATATATATATATATATATATATATATATATATATATATATATATATATATATATTGTATATGATATATATATATATATATTTATATATATATAAATATATATATATATATTTATATGTATAAAATATATACATGCTAAGGCATAAGTTTCTTACAATTTTCACAACTACCAAAAATGTGCTTCGCGCTCTAAAGATAATTGTTTTAAAACTCATTTCAAACTTGTTTACTTTCAGTATCTAAAACGTAACATGAGGGCTCAAATAGTAACGCTAGGGCTCAAAAAGTAACATAAGGGCATTTTGCGTAACATCAGGGCTCTTAAAACGTAACTTGCGGGCTCACACAAACTACTACTACTACTACTACTACTACTACTACTACTACTACTACTACTACTACTACTACTACTACTACTATTACTACTCCTACTACTACTACTACTACTACTACTACTACTACTACTACTACTAATAATAATAATAATAATAATAATAATAATAATAATAATAATAATAATAATAATAAATGTTTATTCCTAAAATGTGGCGTTAAAATGCTGTTTTGAAAATCTTTTTTTCATACTTTGTTTTTAGTTAATGTTCAGACAAACAATAGAGAATTACATCAATCATGTAATGATCAATCAAAGCTTACTGTTAATTTATCTGTTAGCTCTCATGGGTTGCCAGACTCTTATGATATGCACACTATTGGTGAAAAGACTAGTGAGTGTGAAATGTTTTCACCAGTTGAAAGGAATCAGTCAGGTTAATTTTATTTTATAATACATTGCTGGTCTTTTTAGTTTAATTTAAACATTTACATATCTTTAAGAAGTTAATAATTTTTAATTATTTTATAAACTTCTATATCTTAAATATCTTTAATAATTTAATAATATAGACTCTAAAAAAAATCAGTTCTATACAACGGGTTTGGTAAAAAAACATAAAGTAACAATATTACATTTTCAATTTTGCAACAGATTTTTACAACAGATTTTTACAAGTGATACCACATGATTCATGTGGTATCACATTATAAATCACAAGCTTTGAAATAATTTTGAAACAATGGTCTATATAAACTTTGCGTTAGTACCCCTTTTATAAATACTGTAAATATCTTTTTGATTAGTTTATCATGTGAAAAATATTTTTAGCAATATAATTAATGCTTTCTATAAATATTTAAAATAAACCTTAGATAATACAAGAAATTGAATGAAATTTAAAATTACTGAGTGTTTTTTAATCTACTCCAGCTTCAAAAATTATGAAACTTTATGAAAAATATTTATGGAAAATTATGAAATTAAAAAATTAACAATTTGTTAACTTTTTGCAAAAAAAACCTTATTTCTAGGATATAAATGTGATTTAGGATCCTGTAAACGAAAAAGATCTTCTAATATATTTATTTGAAAAATACAACAACAGAAAAAAATAGTTTAACCGTAATACCTTGATCCAATATATTTTTTTTGATTGAGCCATTGATAGTTGGTGTTTATGATTTTATATTTAAGTCTTTCATACTCCATACAACCATTTCATACTTCATACAACCATTTCATACTCCATAAAACCATTATATACTTTATACAACCATTTCATACTCCATACAACCATTTCATACTTTATACAACCATTTCACATTCCATACAACCATTTCTTACTCCATACAAACATTTCATACTCCAAACAACCATTCTTTTCGTTTTAAAAACACACAGATGACAATTTTTTAAAGCTGTACAAAAAGTCACTTTTATTAATGTGTTCACTTTCTTTTTATCTTTATTATTCAAAGATAAGTAGTTGATTTAAAATAGTATCTCATTAAAATTTGTTTGAATACACTACTAGGGTAGACATTTTTGTAACGCAAAGAAAAACTTTTTTATTTTATTTGCAAAACTAATAGTGTAACAGGCCAGAAGCATTTCCAGGTATTGCAATTTGCGATCACTTAATTTGAGCCTTGCGATTTTATACACTAAATCAACATGTTAAACTTGAGTCATACATAGCCAACATCAGGTGGGCAAAAAATTTATTTTGATTTTTTGGTTTCTATTACAAAAGGCTAAAGATTAATTGATTATAAAAGATTTGCTTTATAGCAGCATAGCTTAAGACAATTATTATTTAAAGAATGAAGTAATTAAACTTTATACAATTATATGGCAAATTTATGAATTTAAGATTCAAAGTTGTTTTTTAACAACAAAAGAAATCCCTTTGTTTATTACATTTTTATATTGGCTTCTTGCAATAATAAAAGAAAGTTTGCTCTCAAGTAAGATGTTTTTTGTAAAAAAGATGAAAAAAAATGATTACGATTTAATATAAAAAGGAAAAAAATGCTGTGTATAATGAGGCTTGACTTAAAACCGACAAGAAGTAATAAAAGTTTCTTTACCTGTTTTGATCCAGAAGGTTAGTTGAAAGTCAATTTTTTTACATACACAATATAGTTATATATGGGTATAAATATAAGTTTGCTATTTGTTTATATGCTGGCATACAATATGCTTACATATTTATGTAAATTTTAGCATTTATTTGGTGTAGTATTTGCCAAAAAAGAAGATGTTTAGGCGGATGAGTGATACAATTCTAACAAGTCAAGAAAATGAGCCATAATCTGGTATCAGCATGTAAAGAGGTAGTAGCTTCAAGAGAAAATGGAAGAGGTAGAAGTAAGGTTAGTAAGGGTTAATATTTGACTGGGGCTAGGTTTGATAAACAGAATCATGATCAACATAATCATTAACATTATTATCTTTAGCCTTCCCCTTTTATGATGTTTCTCTGATATAAACAATCTTAAAAATCTTCTATTCTTAACTAAAGATTATTCATACTATATGTATTGCATTCTCTCCAGGTTTTCTCTGCCATTTTCTTCTGAAGCTGCTACTTTAAATGCTGATACCCAAACCACGTCGAAGAGTTTAATTGAGAATAGACTTCAGTATTGGAAGCTGCAGTGATTTGAATATCTAAATATGGGTATTCTGTTTAACTAGAATGGTAGGAAGAGTATGGTTGTTGGGTTGAAGAATCAAATTAGAGGATACATACATATATATGCCTTTATTTTATAAATGTTAATGTATGCATAAGTTTATTATACAAAAAGTGTTATCAATTTTTTCCGAACCCCGGCTATAAACATGTTATTGGTGATCACAGTACATTTCTAAGGAGGGGGACCACCATTCATCCACAACTTAATTCTAATTGGTTATTATGGCACCAACATATTTTTACCTCTTACACCCATGAATTTTAGCACTTTGTGAGCTTTATATTATGAATTTGTTACATTAACGACATTTATATACTTTTATGTTACACAAGTGATAATCAGTTTTCAATTTATTATCTAGTGTTTAGACCATAAATATTACTACGTTTATTAGACAATTTTGTTCTTTTTACATTGCCCAAACTATAATTTATTATTATTCTACTTATTTTATTGTTTTTGTATGGTACAATTATTTTACTAATTGTTACCATTAATAAACCAGCAGATTTATATTGACTTGTTTACTCATAGATCATTGTCTTATCATTTGCTTAAGATGACTAGAGTGTGAGTTATGGTTCCCTTCTTCCTGAGTTGCTGATTTTTGTTCCTCCTACTAAATAGTCTTTACATTAATTTATGTTTTTACCTAAATGACATTATCTTCAATCTGATTCTATTATCACATCTCTCGGGTCTATGTAACTGAACGACTCCATTAGTCACTTTTTGTGATCTTTGTGTCACATAAAAATTAAAATTTATTCATTGTGGCTGGTGAGCCCCAACTTCTTCCAATGTACACCACAATGACAAAACGGACATTAGGCTATCCTGCTGGATGTGGTTACGGCGCTCAATAACCTAATGATTACGCTGGCACTCACGCACATGTTCATTCGGAATGCACATTAATTCAGTGTTTGCTGACTATGTGCTCGAATTTAAAATCTGACTTTATAGCACATCATTCCACACCAGTATGGGGTCGTAACTTTTTTGACTAAGAGTGATGGGCTACGGTGACTAGTTGGTGCATTCAATTAATTCAAATCCATTCTGTAAGTCTTACCTCTGGCTCTGATGTGTTAGCCCATAAGCGCAAGAAGTGAGTGTGTTGGGCTTTCAATTCACCCGATTTGAAAAGGAACGAAAACATAACGAGTCCGTACTAGATGACTGAATATACTAATGCACTACATCATCACACCTGTAGACATCAACAGTCTTTAAAATCAGTAGATCAAATATTTGTTCTTTGTTACATGTTTTCTACACACAAAGTCACTAGAGAATTAGTTGTTTCTCCCCATGCCCCCCTTAGCGTCCATTCATTATTCTACTTCACAAAAGACTTGCCACAAAATTTATATTTTCTTATGATTTTTATTTTTTATTTAATAACACCATTAACAATCTGTTTTTATTTTCACATCACCCATGTCTGCGTATGTGGTTGGCCCCGTATGTCACTTTTTATGATCTTTGTGTCGCATAATCAATTAAAATATATTTCAAAACCAGCCAAAACACAAACTAAATCTTATAATTTTGCATGGGTCATGTTTGTAAAAAGTCAAGTATTATATATATTTTAGAAATATTATTTATACAAGCAGAAAGCAACCCCCTAATATGAGTTATTTTTGGTCTGTTACAAAATTATTATTTATAATGGGTGGCCCAATTTGAGTTTGATTTCCCTGACCTTTTACACAATCCTCAGAATATAATTAGTAAAATATAATATAATAAAATGAAATGACTTTTTTAGTTGTGGTTCTTTATTTTTCAGAATAATTATACTGATATTATGAAATAATATGATATTAAAGAAAAAAATAATGATTCTTTTTTAAAATGCAATATTTTTACTTGTGGATATTTTTCTTTAAAAGCATTGTGCTTTTCAAATATTTTTTTATAAATTATAACGGCTATGCAATATAGTTGTGTTTACATAGAGTACCCGTTTAAAAAAGTTGATTAATTATAATTGGTATAAAAAATTCTTGCCGTGACATATATCTTCAGTAGCCAAGTGGTTAAGTGCGTTGTTTTCAGTTAGCACTAAGATTAATGGAATAATAGCACAATCATTCTATTGATTCTATGGGTTCAATTTCACTGCTTAGTAGCAGCAATCCTGCTGTTTTTTTAGATACAAAACAAAACAAAACAGCTTAATCAAAAAAGACTAATAGTTGTTAAAAAGTTATATCATACATATATTTTAAATGATTGTTACATATATAACTTGCAAACTCAACTTAACAGGTCTTTTTATATAATGCAATACGAATGATATTTTAAAACTTGCATAGTTTTAAATGTCAGTGTTTTAAATTTACATAAGTTTATTTACATATTTACAATAATTTCTTTTATGTGCTTAAAAGCTTATTCTCGTTTTTTTTTTTTTTTTAATGGGTGCTGTCAGCTTTGTGTCAAAATGCACAAGTGGGCACTACTAACACTATTAAGTTCAGCATTATTATATAGAAATTTATATATTTTAAAATTTTTTATCAAAATTAATATTTATATTCGTAATTTTATTTTATTTTATTCCATTTTAATTAGTAATTACAAATGATTAAATTACAAATTAAACTTTTTTAAAGGTGATGTTTATTATTTTAATTAGTTGATATAAGCAAGAATTTGTATTCGAAACCCCAACCCACAAAAAAACAACTGATAAGTCCAAGTGTTTTTATGAAAGCTCCAAAACCAACGACACAGCCATCTAAAAATAATTTTGATCTGCCTATTCAAGAAGCAATAAGAAAAGGTACTGTTTTGGTATCTTTTTGCTAACAATAAGCAGATTATTAGAAAGGTTCATAATAGAAACTTTTTTTTAGATGCTCTGCCTTCTTATATATTGAATAATGATCCAGTTGGAATCTGTCATATCATAAGCAATAACTTTAAAACGACCGTTATATCTGAAGATAATAAAGAATTGCCTCCCCGGAACGGTACTGAAAAAGATGTTATAGAGTTAAAAAAAGTATTTTTATGGTTAAATTTTAAAGTTGAAGTTTATTTGGACGAAGATGTCAAGAGCATACTAGATATTATTAAAAAGCCCCCTACTTCGAATGAAAATCAGCAAGCTATTGATTGCTTTGTGTGTTGTATTTTATCACATGGTTTTACAGATGGTGTGTATGGAAGTGATGGTAAAAAACTGAGATTTAGTGATATGCAAGCTGCTATTAATGGCAATTCTGCTAAATGGTTAATTGGTAAACCAAAACTTTTTTTTGTTCAAGCTTGTCAGGGAGATAGAGAAGAAGTTGAGATATGTGTTGACTCTGGTATCCCTAATGACCAGAAAAATACAAATTCAAATACTGAGACAAGTTTATCAGAAAATGCTGACTTTTGCTTTTCTGTAGCTGCTATTTCAGGTAACTTCTTTCTACGATTTTTTTCATTTTAATGCAATTATGTTAGCGTTGCAAATATTCAAAGTTGTTTTACATTTTACAAAACTTTACAAATGTTTTAACAAGCATTGCGCCATTCTCTAAACATTTTCCCAAAGTTGTTCCAAAAAAGCAAAAATTTGATTTGATTTTGTTTCAAAGATAACTTTTTTTAATTGTACATATTTAAGATAAAAGAACTAAAGAAAGTAAACAGTACTTTAAACATTAAACTGGAGATTTTTGAAATGCATTATAAAAAATATTATACCTAAAGGAATACTAGAATATAAGCTGAACGTGTGTTATATAAGTGTAGTTTGAAACTGAGCTAACTCTGCAATAGAGATTCAAACAGAACACAAACATACATATAGTAACTTGTAGGTGAACAAACATCATGTTAGAGGTTCTCTAATGTGTTAGATGTTTGAACACAAACATTTAACATTAAATTGTTAAATGTTTGAACACAAACATTTAACAAACACACAGAACGCAAACATAGTAACAAACACACAGAACACAAACAGTAACTTTGGGGTGAGCTAACGCCATAACGATACCTTTAAATATTTAACTGACAGATAAATTAAGTTAAAATTATGTTTACTTCTTTTTGTCTTCGCTTAGAAAGTGAATCTTACAAAGGTAGTGACAGTACACATAACAGATTGCACTGGTTTACATGTTAACAGTAGTCGTGATAGCGATCATGATAATTATATGTTTAACCAGAGAGTAAATCATAGATAAAAGAAAAAAAGATTTTATATAGGGAAAAAAAAAAAGGAAAGTTTGAGAAAAGAACTTTGAAAAAATAAAATTTGAAATTTTTATATATAAAATTAATTCTATTTAACAATATTAAATATTAAATTAAAATTATTATTTTTAAAGTTAATGGATATAAACTTACCATTTTTTTAGGATTGTAATTTTATTTGCAATATTCAATATTTGCAAGTGAACTAACATGTTTTTTTTTTTTTATTTTTATTTTTTGCAAAAAAATATACAAAATTAATTGCAAAAAAAACAAGGTTGAAAAAGTCCAGGTCAATGCAAGAAATGTTCAAAAACAATTGAAACTTCTGGCAAAACTACAAGTGGTATGCTTGGAAACTTTTGAACTCAGCACATAACTAACCTATTATAAAGTGGTATAACAGATAAACCAAATAAAATAATATCAAGAACATCAAACATCTGCAAGTCTCAATATTTCATCAACAATTTCATAATATTTCATAAAATCATCCTTATATAATTTTTTATAAAACGATTGCTATTTTTATATTGTGACTGGTATTTATATTAATATTAAAGTAGTTATATAAACTATAAATAATAAAACATGTTTTGAGTTCTAGAATTGTTAAATTTATAATAATTAATATGTGCATTACATAATAATTTCAGAAAAAGTGCAAGATTACCAATAATTTTCTCGTAATCGGGTTAGGGATTTTTTTTTGGTAATAATTTAAAAATTTAGTAATTTTTAAATTCTTATATTTAAAACTTAATCAATCTGACTGAAATATAATCTTAGTCATGATTTTTGGGTTAGTATTTTTTTTGTCTCTTAGCAATTGTTCAAAGCTCAGCTTCTTACGCAGTTTTTTAGTTTTTTATACATATATATATATATATATATATATATATATATATATATATATATATATATATATATATATATATATATATATATATATATATATATATATATATATAAACATATATGTATATATATATATATATATATATATATATATATATATATATATATATATATATATATATATATATATATATATATATATATATATATATATATATATATATATATATATATATATATATATATATATATATAAACTAAAAAACTTTCGCGCGGAGATTTTTATTCAACTTAAAGCACTTTTTAATTTAAATTACTTTAAATCTCTGCGTAATAGCAAATTAAAAAGACAAAAGTTAAAATTTTTTTTTCTACATACTATTTTTTTTAACAAAACAGCATTTTTATCTTTTTTTAAAAAAAAACGTTGCTCCAAATTAACTTATTAATAATGAATTAAATTATTATCTTATAAACAATTTTATACAATTATTTTTATTACTTTAAGTATAATAAAATATATATTAATTCGTTTTTATTAAATAAAGTTTCTATTAGTAAAATTGTACTAATAGAAACCAGCAACTTTTTTGCTTTCAAGTTTTTCGCTTTTAACGATCTTGAAACTATTGAAGTTATATTTAGTTAACTTTATTGAATGGATAGGGTATATCACAGTAAATTAACTTATAACCTAAATCAAAATAACCAGTTAAGTTAAGATAGTAACTTGCAGTTACTCAAGTATTAATTTAAAGGGATCTCCAAGTGCCGAGACAAGTTGTGTTCATATCATAGATAAACATTAGAAAATAAGTTTAAAATTAATTAAACTTTCCAAAACAAATTATTGAATGAGATATTAATAAAAGCATTTGTTGTTTTGTCATTATACTTCCGGTTACAAACCTTACGAATCTGCATAGTTTTTTCCGTTAAAAAAACATCTGGTTTCAGTAATAAATGTTTTTGCTTACCGCAGAGTTTTTTGCACTCACACAATTAGATAAGGTTTTCCCCTTTAGATTAAGTCTACGGTGGTTATAATAACGTTCGTTGTAGCATGTTTTGTTTTTTGTTTTGCGTATCGTTAAGTGTTTGAGTTAAATAAGCTAGCATAATAAAAATAGTAATTTAGGTGAAGCGAACTTTAAATACACAAGATGAATATATAATATAATTTTTTAAGAAAATAGTAATTTTTTTTTTTTATATACACCACTAAGTACAATATCATCCAACAATTTTAATTTTGAAAGTTGAAAAATCTTAATTTTTTTTATTAAATTGAGGAAACCGTTCTAAAAATAATCTTATATATATTAAATTATGCTTATAATAATTTATATTTCTAATTCAAGAAATTGTTTTTAAAATGATCTAATATATATTTTTCAGATGTATATAAAATTTATATTAAAAAATTGAATATTATAATTTCGTTTAACTGCTAAAAAGGAAACCCCTGGAATTTAATTTTTTTCAAAGAAACTTTTTGTATTGACGTCGCATTATTCGGACCTGATTTAAAAAATAAAAGTAGTCAAAGAGCCGGAATTTTCATTCGCCAGAAAAAAAATGGCATTAAAAATAAAAAGTTTTTTGTTTATATCTTATTCAATAATTTGTTTTGGAAAGTTTTATTAACTTTTAACTTAATTTCTAATGTTTAACAATGATATGAACACAAATTGTCTGGGCACTTGGGGTTCCCTTTAATAATTATATTAATTTATTTAATATACTCGCAAAAGTTAGCCATAGACATGTTTCAATTTAGATCTTACATGTTGTTAACACATTGTATAAGCTTTTAACTAATAATTATTTTAACAAAAATTGTCGAATAGAATATGAAAAACGCGACACTGTTTTTTTATATTTTCATTTTATTTATAGTGACATCTAGACTAAACATTTTCTATAAATACGCAAGTTGTTTTCAGGAATTTTATTTAAAAAGAAATCTTTTTGAACAAGAGAACTTTAGCCTTGAAATGCACTTACTCGAATAATTTTGTGATTAAAATTTTAAACTTTGCCAAACAAGAAAATTATAAAGTTATATTTAAATATGAGAGAAAATATGTTAAAAATAGAGTAATTACGTACAAAACTTTTTTTTTTTTTTTTTTTTTTGCAATTAGATTTTTTTGCGTTAATTCGAGTATATATATATATATATATATATATATATATATATATATATATATATATATATATATATATATATATATATATATATGTATATATATTTTAAATTTTTTTTCTAATCTGGGCATGCCATCAGGCATGCCCAGATTAGAAAATAGGATTCTGCTTCTTTTAAAGCGAAAGCAACCAATGCCTTCTGCTGCTCATTTGCCAGATCCATCTAAGTACATTTCCAGGGGCTCACTTCTCCTTCTTTCCTTATTAATGCTTTCACCACTACATGCTTGGTAGATGCATCCACTTCAGGATTGAAAAGGCTAAACAAGATCAGGTCTTCTGCCATAGATGCCATCGTTGACCAGCAATAGTGCGTGATGTATCTTTATCAATGTATGCACACAATTTTAGAAGTAGTTTTAAATCATTTTTAGCAGCTTAAGATGCCATAGATACCAAATACCAAGAATTGTTATTTACCTTTATGAGAAATATATTGATGCGTAAGGGGCCATGAGATTCTCACATTGTGAGCTCAAACCTTAATAAGACCTAAAGAAAGAAACTTTAATATTGCAAATGGCTTTTCTTATTCAGTAAGTCTTATGTATTAGCCCTGAATCTCAAAAATTGTTTTTATTTCTGCTGTATTATTCCCACAAAGATGGCCATCAGACTAAGCAACTCAAGATAGTCATCTCGTGCTTGATGATCCTGTGATTGTTGTTTATATAATTCAATGACTTCATCTTTAATGTTAGTAAGTTCAGCTATAGCTGATTTATCTGAAAAGACATTCTCATATGTTTGATGGTCAAATGATGACCATTCTGCTTGAAACTATTTGAAAACAAGAATTTCTGGTGTTTTACTTAATTCCATAAAAACTCCATAGGCAACAGCCAATACCAGCTCTAGAATATGATGATGACAACCAAAGTGAAGAAGAGCTTTACCTAGTAGTTGCTCAAGAATGATGCAAGTACCTTTAATCAGCAAGTATTTGAGCAAGAAATTGATCAAAATGAGTTGTATCAAAACACAAGCCTTAGACTAAGTTCTCCAGTTTCCAATTCTTTATAGCATTATATTTAACTTGAGCTTTCAATTGACTAGTACCTGCAGCAGTCCTTGAATCTTGAAAGGCAGTCTGTCAATTTTTTTTTTGTGCCAATCAAATCCAGCATCAGTTTCACATTCCAGTGGA